ACCTCCAGAGATTGCTCCACCCCTGAAGCAAGCCAGGAGCTAGGTCCTCAACAACAGGTCAGCTGTCCTCAACTCTGCCCGGGTGTTCTGTGCTACCTGCTTCTGGCATTATCTTCAGTCTAGAGCAGTGGTTCTCAGCCTTCTCAAACTTTAATACAGTTCCTCATGCCGTGGTGACCCCCAACCATACAATTATTTTCATTGCTACTTCATAATTGCAATTTTGCTACTGTTATGAATCATAATGTAAATATCTGTGTTTTCCAGTGGCCTTAGGCAACCCCTGTGAAAGGGCCATTTGCCCCCTAAAATGAGTCACAACCTACAAGTTGAGAACCACTGTTATAAACCATAGGGGCTGCCTGAACTTAATCTTCACCTTCTCAGTTCCTCCTACCTACCTAACCTGAAGGAGTGGAATCCAGGGTTATCCACGGTGCTTTCTACCCAGGCATTCCCAATGTGCCCTCTCGGGTCAAAGTCACCAGCTTTCAGTCCTAAGGCCAGTCCCTCCTATCTACTCCCCTCCTGCAAGCACCTTTGGCCCAAGCACTTTGCCCTGGTGAGTGAACCTTGCAAGTTACAAAGTAAAGATGGGGCAAGGAGCAGTGTGGGAAAATCAAGGCAGAGGGCATCGCAGTGATGGCAAAACTGGGAGATTTGGGGCCGTCAAGGCCTCTAGAGAGAGTTTTAGTACCGGAAGGCTGGGAAGGGTTGGAAGCCGCAGTGAAGACATGAGGCTGGGTGCAGTCCAGCAGAGGCAAAGGTCTAACCTAGTCTCCAGTTGGCCAGGCTCCGCTATTTGGGTGTTTCTCATGCCAAGCCCGGCTGCCACATCCTCCTCAGGTTCTAGCATATGCCACCTCTGCCTAGTGACAGCCTTCCTGGAAGCAGCAGCTTCCTTCTCTCTAGTATGGGCACAGAGAGGCCACGAACAACCCCCACCTGGAACTGGGAGGTTTTCCAATGGTCTTGGACAGACTCCGCCAAGCCAGAAGGTTCGGGTACAGTCTGCCCCGCCCACCTCTCCCTACAAGAAAGAACCACACGCGCCAAGGCGACCCTTCTCCTGTCCCTAGGTGGGCGCTGTCCCTCTGTCTCAGATGGCTGAGATCTCCATCCAAGCCTGGATTTTACCTAAACTTGCTTCCCTGCAGCATTCAGCAAGGAGTTGGCCAAGGGCAGGGAAGGCGTTGTCCGGTTGCACGTTTGCAGGGTGACAGAACCAAAAGGCCGGGCCCTGCTGGGCTCTGCCTCGGGTGACTACTCTTCAGGAAGGGGACGCGGTCCCAGTCGGTTAGCAGTGCAGTGGGAGAGGCAACAGAGGAATCCTGACCTGTTTTCAAGGCCTTTGCACAAAGTCGAGACGACCCGGTACAGAGGGATCCCGCCCAAGCACGCCGGGGACACGCGGGCAATCGGGGTTGCCATCGGACATTTGAGAAGAAAAGTGGGAGAGGGCCTCGACCCCTGCGAGCTACCCTATGTCTAATCTAGGGCTGCCCGACCCTTGTCCCCGAGACAGAGAGTCACGGCTCGGGGCACGGATGGCCTCAGGGACGCTCACCTGGATACCTTGGAAGTCCTGCTGCAGATCCTCCCAGTTGCGCAGGCAGTCGCCCAGCGGGTCTGGGGGCGGGGACTGCATGTCTTTGTCCACGCCACGGGCCGCGGGGAGCCACGAGTGGGGAGGACCGAGCTGCAACCCCGGCCGGCCCGAGGCGCCTCCGCCACCGCCC